CAAAAGGGAAAAAAAAATTCTTTTCAAAAAAGGGGGAAGTCGAGAAGAGAGGATATAGACAAAAAAGCCCTATGTACAGAATGGAAAGCTGCCCAGCGGGGGTGGGTAATAAAAGAGGGTAACACAGAAGTTAAGGAACAGCGACTTGGCTTTCAGGGGGGGGGGAAATCCAAGGAGATTGGGAGTTAACACAGAGTTAAATTAGAGTACAAATATTGGGGAAGAAAGTGGAAGAGGGAGGAAGAAAGCTAACCCTACTGCCTGGCTGAAAACGCAAAGCTGAAAATCTGTAACACTAGATCAGTTCCCATTGCCAGTTTTTGCTGATCACCTCAAAGTTCAATAAGTCTATTTAGGCGGGGCCCTTACTCCACCTTAGTGCTTGCACAGAGCAATTCGCCCCCTCCCCAAATCCTTTGCAGTGCTGAGAAACATTCTGTTAGAGACCCCCTTCACAGGACTACATTTCCCCAGCGGAGGGACTCAGAATTAGACCTCAGGTTGCCAACTCCAGGTTGGGAAATTCCTGGAGATTTGGAGATGGAGGCTGGGGAGAGACCTCAGAGGGGTATAATGCCATAGAGTCTAGTTTTATCCAAGGGAACTGATCTTTGTTGTCTGAAGGTCTATCTGGAGGTTGGCACCCCAAATGCAACCAATTTAAAGTGGTCAGTCAGCCCCAGGACTTCAGTCTGATCGCTTGATCCTGTGGGAAGGATTTGCCTGCTTTCAACCTACAAACTGTTTCAGAAGGGCACAGAGGAGGGTGAATAGGAGGGAGATCCTCAGATGAGAACCAGCGATTAGAGCAAGGGATAAAGTTGCAGACGTTTCAAACAGAAGCACAAATCCTGTATATAATTGAGAGATTCCATGATTGTCATTGATTGACAGGTCTGCTAGGGAAACTGCTCCTGACTGGTTTCTATTTTTCCCCCAAAAGAGGCAGGTGACAGAAAGCTGCATTTTTATCATTTAGACCTACTATGGAACAGTATTGTGATGTATAGGTGTATGATTGGGTTTTTTTTTTTAAGTTAAAATATACATTTTTATGTCATACACAATCATCAGTACAAAGTAAGGATCTACTTACATTACTCATTCATGCAACTGAACTTGTTTTTCACTCTAAAATAATCCTTTTGATATAACATAGTAGTGGAATCCAGCATCCTTCCTGATCTTTAATTCCTTTCTTATTAATTTCTTCCTTATTGAGCAAAGTTTTCCTTAACCAATCGAGTTTACTTGGAAGAGACTCCGTCTTCCAAAACTACTCCCAAGACATAAGAAGAGCCCTGATGGATCAGACCAGTGTTCCATCCAGTCCAGCATCCTGTCTCACACAGGGGCCAAACAGTCCCTGTGGAGGGCCAAAAAGAGGGCATAGAGGCTGAGGCCTTCACAAGAACATAAGAAGAGCCCTGCTGGATCAGACCAGTGAGGGTCCATCTAGTCCAGCCTCCTGTCTCACCCAGGGGCCAACCAGTTCCTCTGGAGGCCCAGCAACAGGACAGAGAGGCCGAGGCCTTCCCCTGATAAGAACATCAGAAGAGCCCTGCTGGGTCAGACCAGGGAGGGTCCATCTAGTCCAGCCTCCTGTCTCACCCAGGGGCCAACCAGTTCCTCTGGAGGCCCAGCAACAGGACAGAGAGGCCGAGGCCTTCCCCTGATAAGAACATCAGAAGAGCCCTGCTGGGTCAGACCAGGGAGGGTCCATCTAGTCCAGCCTCCTGTCTCACCCAGGGGCCAACCAGTTCCTCTGGATAGCTACCAGCTGGGCCTAGAGGCCGAGGCCTTCCCCTGATGTTGCCTCCTGGCTCCGGGATCCAGAGGATCAGTGCCTCCAAATGGGGAGGTTCCCCTCAGTCACCATGGCTAGCAATCACTGATGGACTCCTCCTCCATGAACCTACCAAATCCCCTTTTCAAGCTGTTTATTTCTGTGGCCATCCCTACATCCTCTGGCAGCGAATTCCACATTTTAATCACTCTCTGGCCTGTTATGAACACACGGCTTACTGCAGAGAATCCAAGCTTGGCTTTGGATTCTGTGCCTGCAGGGTGCACAATCCTTGGATTCTGTTCCTGCAGGGTGCACAATCCCCCCCCCCCCCCCCGGGTATATTCACGCTGTAGTCCGGGCACTGCGCTGCTGTCTCCTCCCCCACCCCACCCCGGTTTCAACTGGGTGGCAGGAGAGGGCAGCCCGGCTGGGCTCCCTGCAGGCACAGCTCTGCACTTCCTTCTCATGCCACCCAGTTCAAACCGGGTGGCAGGAGAGGACAGCCCATCCAGAAGTCATCTCTCTTTTTTGACAAGTGGCAGGAGACTAGCAATAGGCTCACATCACTAGACTCATGTCAGTTGTGATTTGTTTTTTTAAAAAGGTGGGTTGGGGAGCAGGCTACGCAGGGCAGGGGGGGGGGGGGAACCAAGGGAATCTATATGCTTTTGACTTCCCTTCAGCTTGGAAGCAAACAAGGGGCGGGAGGAACGGCACAAAAGCACTCTTAGAAAACCCAGGGAAACAGCAAATGGAAAGCGAACTGAGCACTGAAGGGAGGGGAAACAATGCGGAATGAAAAAGAAAACCCGATGGACGTGCGCGGTGAAAGTGAGGCAAGACACCCGTGCATAACACGCCTTTGTGTCAAGAAGTAAAGCTCTCCTCAGGCTCCACCCACAAAATCTCCAGTTATTTCCCAACCTGGAGCTGGCAACCCTATGGCCTGAACTGCCACTCTTCCAAGCTGCTTCTAGCTCTCCTGGAGAAAAGGTAAGGGTACCCAGACATGTACCACTACTGGAGAAAAGTGATGGGGGGGGGCTGATTTCTGTCAGGAAAAATGACACAAGGGACAGAGGAATAGCCCCTCACATCATTTGCACCCATCTCCCCCTATAAAAATGGAGCTGCGGTGGCTCAAGTGGTTAAGACGCTGAACTGCAGGCTGTGGAAGGTTGGTAGTTCAGCAGTTTGAGACCTGAGTGTGCCGCATGATGGAGTGAGCTCCCATCTCTAGTTCCAGCTCCTGCCAACCTAGCAGTTCGAAAGCAAGACATTGCAAGTAAATAAATAGGGACCACTTCGGTGGGAAGGTAACAGCATTCCGTGCGCCTTGGTGTTTAGTCATGCCGGCCACATGACCACGGAAACATCTTCGGACAGCGCTGGCTCTTCGGCTTTGAAACGGAGATGAGCACCGCAACCCTTGAGTCGGACTCGACTGGCTTTCGAGCAAGGGAACCTTTACCTTTACCTTTTACCCTCTATAAATTGCAGTGTAATCTGTTTTAAAAGCAGCTGGGGGAAATAATCACAGAACCTCAGATCATGTCAACTCCCGCCTTGCACGCTCCACCTTCTGACTCATTTTGATTATCCTTCTTCTGTCCTTTTCCCAACTCTGCAATATCCCCTCCTGAGAGATGGTGTCCAGAATGGTACACACAATTCCAGATGGTGCCATACCAGAGACTTCTCCCCTGATGATCCTTACCAGGGAATCTCCCGCTTTTATCGCTACCAGACACAGAGGTGATGCATTAGGTACCCCACCACAACTAGGGGTGCCAGTTCCAGGTTAGGGGATTCCTGGGGATTTGGGATTGGATCCTGTGCAGGGCAGAGTTTGGGAAAGGGAGGGAGCTCAGCAGGGGACTGGTGCCATTGGGTCCACCCTCCAAAGCAGCTGTTTTCTCCAGAGGAACTAGTGTCTGCTCCCGGGAGATCAGTTGTAATCAGTGTTCCCTCTCAGCTGAGTGAGTGTGAGCTAGCTCACAGTTTCTTAGCTTCTGGCTCACACACTTTTGTCTTGGCTCAGGAAGGAGGGCTCCAGAGCGCACTAATTGATGCAGCAGCCCAATCACTTGATCACAACTTTAATGCCAGTAGCTCACAGAGTAGAATTTTTGCTCACAAAACTCCGCAGCTTAGAGGGAGCATTGACTGTAATTCTAGGAAATTTCCAGCCTCCACCTGGAAGTTGGGAACCCCAGGGGTCATTTCCTGCAGGAGCGCACAGGAGCAGAGCTCCGGGAGTAAAGAGCACATGCAACAAGCCCCACCCCCTGCTCCCAGTAGCCCTCAGTCAGAGCAAGAAGCGGCCAGTTATTTGCAGAGCCCCCCCTCAAGCCCCCCGGCCCAAAACAGTCCAGTGGCACCTTTAAGACCAAGGGGGCAGATCTGCACACCCCCCCCAATAGCTAGCCATCCAAAACAGTCCAGTGGAGCCTGAGTGGTGGGTGTTGCCTTCTGACACACTTCCGGTGATGTCAGGGGGTGTGGCATACGCAGATAAGTTATGCTAATGAGCTCCTGTGTCTCTTTTTCTACAAAATGACCCCTGGGGAACCCTAAATGCAACCCCCTTTTTCTTGCTCTGTCATCACCTATTCAGACTCCAGCAACATATTTGGAGTGCAACACACGCACACAACAAACATGGAATAAAAAGGGGGATGTACTTTCAGCACGGATAGATCATGTGGCACACTTCCCACCGACCCTTCAAGTGAGCATGTGCATCCCAGAGAGGAAGAGACATTTCACCAGAAGACCATAGTGGCCAGAAAAAGCAGTTGTTGGGGAACTGGCTGTCTTTAATATGGTTAAACCTGAGGACTTGACATTCCTTTTTGGGGCTAAATGCCCAGAATTGTTGGCTGATCAATGGGAACTTATTCTTAAGAAATGGTCTCCTGATAGCTCTTCTTCGAGAGCATGGAGAAGGTGACACCACACAAACACCTGAGCAGAGGGGCATTAGTGCACATGGAAAGAAAGGAAACCACAGTTTCAAGCACATTGTGCGCTGCTTTTGCATCTGTGCAGTTGATAACATATGGTGCTGTGGTTAGCATGTCAGATTAGGGTCTGGGAGACTCAGGTCCAACTCCCTACTCTACCATGAAGTCCACTGGGCGAATCTGGGCCTGTCATTCTCTCAACGCCTCACCGACCTCAAAATAAATGAGCTAACCACAGTTTGTGAGGGGGCGTGGCTCAGTGGTAGAGCATCTGCTTGCCATGCAGGTCCCAGGTTCAATCCCCGGCGTCTCCAGTTAAAGGAATAGATGGTAGGGGATGGGAAAGATCTCAGATCCTGGAGAGCCGCTGCCAGTCTGAGTAGACAATACTGACCTAGAGGGACCTAGGTTCAATCCCCGGCGTCTCCAGTTAAAGGAACAGGTGGTAGGGGATGGGAAAGATCTCAGATCCTGGAGAGCTGCTGCCAGTCTGAGTAGACAATACTGACCTAGAGGGACCGAGGGTCTGGTTCGGTATAAGGTCGCTTCATACATATAGTTTCTTCCCTGGCCATTTCCCCCCCACTTACAGAATATGTGAAAACCTAGCAATTAATCACCTTGTATGTTTTTAATTTCTTATTAACCTGTTCATGAAGAGCTGATATTATCGCTGCTGGGTGTTCATTCCTTTGTTTGGTGTAATAGCCTAGATTAGTCAGCGGATGTTTTATCACCGGGAACTAACTGCCAGTGGTGTATTTCCTGAGATTATGAAGCCTTATGGCAGCTCCTTTTGTTCGAAGATCAAT